ATTATTATTATTATTATTATTATTATTTTTGTGTGAGAGATTAGAAAGGAAAAGATAAAACCGTAGCATATTGCTTTCTATGCAAGCAAAAGTCTGGGATAACTTATCTTTTTATTTGGTCTTGAATTCTTTCTGTGATAGTCAAATCCCAAGAAAATGCAAACTTAGCCTTTCTTTTAATCTAATTTGTTTACTTGTGAAGCATGTTTGATCCTAAATTTAAGAAGAAATTTATACATGATTTTTATAATCCAATATAACCAAACACTGATAAGGAAAGTGTGTGTCATTTAGAAGTAAGCTGTTGCTTTTGAATTTTCATGCAACATGTCTTGTTACTCCAAAGTGCCTCATTATTTCTCTATTAATCTTTCTGTTTTGATTGTAAAAATGGTTGTTTGGTTTTTATAAAGTGTTAGTCCTGATAGAAGACAGCAGTTGGCCTCAAACAGTTTAAGTTTTCAGATGCCCACATGATGGCAGCAAGGCCTAATATACAGAGCTTGAATTTATAATAATGTGTATTTATTGCTGCCAGCTTCTTGAAACAGCTGCAGTGGGTCTAGTTTAGCTTACGTTCTTACATTTTGGAAGAACAAATCAGTGGTCTAAAAAGGAGAGCGCAGGGTTTTAGAAGTTCAAAATCACTATTTGGAAAATCAGTTTACAGCCCTTAGGTAGACACCTCATCTGGACTTCTGCTGCCAGTTGACAACACTTGCCAGATGTAAATCCAATGCATATGAATAATATGACAGATGGCTTTGTGAGATATACATAATTATTGCAGTAGATTCATATAAAGACTTGTAGACACTACTGAGACTGCAGTGTCTAAACCCAGTATGTTAACAGAGAAAATATTTTTTTCCCAGAGTGTATTGAGACATACTGCTCTAATTTTTGTTCCATGCTTTGGAATGGGGGATTTTGCAAAGTAATGTATGTGCCCCAAGGTTGGTAGTTGCTGAGAAATTTTTGTTGTTGGAAAAAAATAATTTAACTTTATAATATATACACCCAGAACAAGAATGAATTATCTGGAATTGGGGATAATTTGTGAGGGATATTATGTTAAATCAAGGAGAAATGTGCTATCTCTAAAACTTGCTTAAAATAAGCAAGACTTGTTCGTAAATGTACATACATTTAAAGTATTAATATAGGATGACGAGAGGTTCGCCAATCAATTTCACCCTTGTCACCTCCTAAAATGATGAAAGAATTTGTGCAAACCTCAGTTAAACGACTTACTGCATTGCAGTTAGGTTTGGGTAAGAAGTAGCCCATCAATTAAGATAGACAAAATTTTCATTTTGGTTTTCATTTTATTGTACAATTGGTCATGATTTTCATTCTGTATTGTTAGATATTTACAATAATACAAAAATATTGATTTTTACTAGTGCATATATTTCTACAATCTGCCCCACCCCAGTGTCACTGGTGTTAGAAACGTGATTAAAACACTAACAAAATTGGATTGGAAAGAAAAGAGTTTATTCTGCAGAAAATAGAAAAAGCAGTTTGCAAAGTGTGGTGGATCTCTAAGAGACACTTCCAACACGGAAGTTCTAAATTAGAGACCACACCCAATTGTTCAAAATCAAAGCATTATATACACCCCTATCGCGATGCTCCCACTCCCCTCCCTTTTGGTCCCACTTCAAAGGACTTCAAGATTCAGTCTTATCGAAGCGCCTAATCCAGTGGTGGCGAACCTATGGCACGGGTGCCAGAGGCGGCACTCAGAGCCCTCTCTGTGGGCACCCGCGCCATCGCCCCAGTCCTAGGCCTTCAGCTGGGTTTTATAAAACCTTTTCGCTTTAGGCCTCCGCCACCATGTGCAAAAAAAAAAAAGGTTCAATCAGTCAATTTCAACTTCTCGTGGGAAAAAAAAGATCTTGCAAAGTTGGAATTGATTGATTGAACTTTTTAGTCCCACCCAGTCTGCTGTTACCACTGTAGCCACGCCCACCCAATGGGCCACACATAGCCAATGGGCCACACCCACCCGGCACTCGACGATGCATACGTGGGTTTTGGGTTGCAGTTTGGGCACTCAGTCTCTAAAAGGTTCGCCATCACTGGCCTAATCTAACCAGAATACATCACACACACCCCTTTAATTACATCCGTTTCAAAAACTTCCCTTGGGCATCCTTTTGTCTTGTTAAAATAACAGCCTGTTTCTAACTCACATTGTAGTGGATACAAAGAGCCATAAACAATAGTTTAAAAGGGTATACAGATCAAAATGCAAAGTAAATAGAGGAAGCAATAAACATTCCCCTCCCCTTCCCCTCCTGGAAACATAGGATGGGAATGGGTTTGAAGAATCATTTTATTTTTAAACATGTATTCCTAACACTGGGATTGGTGGATTATTTTGACAGAAGGGAAGGCATGATAGGTGGGTTTAGTCATCTCTAAACTCACTTAGGGCTTCTCCTTGCCTTAATTTTGTGAGTCCGCTGTATGCTTGCCCAAGCATAATAGGAGTGCAGGCAATACTCAGTCCAAGCTTTGCTTCCTGCATTGCTTGATTAGGTTTAAAAATGTTTTGCAACTGCTAAGGAGTTGCTGCTCAGAGTTTGAGAAGCCTGTGAAAAGTTTTTCTCCACAGAGGTTTTGCTGAATTTGGGGATAAAAGTCTATCTTGGAAAAATATAGAAAAGCTAACTGCCTGTAAGCACTTGATAAATAAAGTGCTCTAGAAACCCATGTCACTTGAGAATATTTTAAGCTATATCTCTGTATAGCCAATGAGGCACCCTGTGGGATCATAAAGCAAATGCTGTGGTCTGCTGTATACAGTATACAGATACAGTATGCAAAAACTACAAAGCAAGCCTCTCCAGGCAACCTTCCCAGTAAATGGGGAAGGGGTGATGGTTCACCCTCTGAAAAAGGTGGGGTAGCATACTGTATATTGTTCTGACAATTCAACTAATTATCCCTGTTATTTGGCCAATTTGGAGCTTCCAGAAGGAATATAGCTGTCAAATTAGATATTAGGTTCTTGAAAAGGCCAGAAAGCTGTTGGGTTTCCTTTACTCAAATTTCTGAGGTAAAGGCACTCATTGAGATGGGGTGATCTGAAGTCTGCCTTAGGAAACAGATTCCAAACTCAGGAAATAAATTCTGTTCTGAATACAGCAGTGCTATCTTCCATTCTGATTTTCTAAAGATGAATGAGCAGGAGGGCAGAAAGCAGAACCGGCAAGTCTCTTCAATCCACAATGATGTTTAGAGGCAGCTGCCATTGAACCAATTTGCCAACAAAATCAGAGCAGATGAATCAACAAGAAATGTTTTCCTTAACTCGCAATGAAATTACTGCAGCTCTAATGTGCACCCCCCAAAACAACCATAGTCTTTATGCAAGGCTATAATTATGGTTTGTTCCTCCATGCAGTGTGTAAACTCTTGTCATTGCCTTTTCTGTAGTGACTACAATTTCTTACTATCAATTTGTCCTTTTAAATTTGTTTATTCACAATCTCTCTGATCTCCAACTTTACTTGTGTAGGTGGTAGAACTGTATCAAATTCTTAAGGCAGAAATACAGATGGCAATACTGCATTTCTTTACATTGATACCACAAATATGGTTTTGGTGTTCAGTTGACTAATAATTTCTTTTGTATTTATTTTTTGTACCAATGACACAAGAAGGGCAAGACTGCTGTGGAACTATAACAGTAGGGGATGAGGGACAGCTATAAGATTTGGAGCTTTTAACTATCATCTAGAAAGAAACTAACAGCCTGGAAAAAGTCCCATTACAGCCTTTCTGCAAAGACTTTCAGCTACATAATATACTGTAAATCAGGCATGTCCAAAGTCCGGCCCGCGGGCCATTTGCGGCCCGCGGCCCGGTTTAATCCGGCCCTCGAACAGCCCTCCCTGCTCTATTAAATGCGGCCCTCCCACGGCCCTCCGGCAAGTCCCATGAGAGAGAGAGAGAGAGACAGAGACAGAGGCACTTGCACTTGCACTTATGTCTCTCTCTCTCTCTCTCTCTCTCTCTCAT